GCTCTTCCGCAGCAGTGCGAGAAGTGTGCGCAACATATACCAGGAGGGAGAAGGGCAGGGGAGGCCATCAGTCATTTGAGACACAGGCTATTCTCAAACTGCTGATGCTCCGGAGCCAAGACTTTAAGTTTTTTCTGTTGGTTTTGTTTGTGAGCTGTAAGTGCACATCACTTGTCCACTTCTTGTCTGGGTCGTTCTTTAGGTGTCGGCTACCGTTCATCTGTACGTAACATAGCCGTCAGAGGGGGCCACGGCCTCGCTTAGTGTAGACTTGGGTATGTGACATTTGGTACGTGCTCTCTGAAACTTGTGAGGCAGTGAAGGAAAAGTGGTGGCTCTGTTACTACATCACATTCTTTTTGTAATTCAGTAACTTTGCTGATATGCTAAAAATGCTGACTCTTTTCTACTTTTAAAAAAGGGGGTTGGTTTGTACTGGTGTTTTAGAACGTACAGAACTTAAGGCTTAATGTGAGCTGCTGAAATGGGAGGTGAGATCGGTGCCATTAGCTACGACTTTGTTCTGGACTTCATAGCGTCTTTCTATATGCTATTGTGTGCTGCTTCATGAGGAAAAGAATAAATTAATTTTTATAGGAGGGCTTTAATGCTTTTAGGATTCTGCTACTGATGGATGATGGGAAGTTTTGTTTCTCCTCCTGAGTGTAATTTAGAAGCGTAAATCCTGTGGTCACCCTGCTGGCCTGGTTACATTATCATGAAATCTCTCACTCTGGTTTTCAGCTGCTGGATGTTGACCCCAACGACCAGGAGGAGGATGGAGCAAACATCGACCTGGACTCCCAGAGGAAGGGCAAGTGTGCTGTGATCAAGACCTCTACGCGCCAGGTAAGACCCCTGTGCCCGGCTAGGTGTGAGGAGTGCTGAAAAGGACCTTATCCTAGTGCAGCTGGGTGTGCTTACTTCGCTTCCTTTCCTACAGACGTATTTCCTGCCTGTTATTGGGTTGGTTGATGCTGAGAAGTTGAAGCCCGGAGACCTTGTGGTGAGTGATGCTGTTGTGACTCTTAGATGTAACATTGGCCAGAAAATCGCATACGTCTGGCCCTTCAGAAAGGAGACAAATCTGTCCAGATTTCTCCAAGACCATTTCTGTACTAAAATTTTAATAAGATATTATGGGTTCAGTCATACCTGTAGTATAGAAAAGTAGTTGGGGAGGACTTTATACATACAATTAGGTGCTGAAAATTTAGGTATCACCTAGTAAGCTTTCTAAAAGATTTTCTAAATCTTTTGTATCGTAAGTAAATTGGGCCCCTTCTTTTTAAAATGTGCTAGGTTAGCTGTGGCGTTGTCCACTGTGCCAAGCTGTGGTGATTTGATGAGTGCCAGTGTCAAAGCTGGTCCTGCATCCTTGGGGATGCAAAGGTGAATCACCTTTGATTGCACGTTTGCTAATTGCTATCTGAAGGGCCTGTTAAAAGCAAAGGACTTGTGTTTACAGGGAGTGAACAAAGACTCGTACTTGATCCTGGAGACTCTACCTACTGAATATGATTCACGGGTGAAAGCCATGGAGGTGGATGAGAGACCCACAGAGCAGTACAGTGACATCGGGGGGCTGGATAAACAAATCCAAGAGGTGATACTTTATGTTTAGTTTCTGGTCTGACTGAGGACAACAGCCTTTGAACTTCAGCTCAAAGCAGGCAGCCTGGATCTGTGGAGTAGAATGGGTTTATGTATTAATATTTTTCTTTTGCCGTAGCTCGTGGAGGCCATTGTCCTGCCCATGAATCATAAGGAGAAATTTGAAAACTTAGGTATACAGCCGCCCAAAGGAGTCCTTATGTACGGGCCTCCAGGAACAGGGAAGACGCTTTTAGCTCGAGCGTGTGCTGCCCAGACCAAGGTAAAAGGAGCCTTTGAAAGCGTGTACTGCTGTAAAATAGTACCTCAAAAAGAATAAGAACACCTCCAGGGGGAGAGAGGGTCGTACGTACAAGCTGGTGTTACAAAGGCTGGGATTTTCTTGTCGGTTTGCTTGCTTGCTTGCTTGTTTAATTAAGGGCTTCTTGTAGTACTTGGAACTGATGCTGTTGAGAAACGAGGCATAGGATTGTCTTTCACTTCCCAGGCTACGTTCCTGAAGCTTGCGGGTCCACAGCTTGTGCAGATGTTCATTGGCGATGGAGCTAAGCTGGTACGCGATGCTTTCGCTCTAGCCAAGGAGAAAGCTCCTTCCATCATCTTTATTGACGAACTGGATGCCATTGGCACTAAAAGGTGAGGTGTAGGCTGTGTTGCAAAGCTCTTGGGAGCTGCCTAGCAGCCCCCTTTGCCTGTGTATGTGAGGGAAGCCTAGCTTAAAGCATGGCCTATTCAGAAACAGAGTGTAAAGCCAGTCACAGATAGCAGTTGCTCCTTGGGCTCATGAGCGAAGTTCTTGAGGCTCGGGACCTATCTGATGGTCTGCTGCTGTATAAAACTGTTTTCTGATAACTGCGTCAGGCACATGGGGGCGTTTGCCCTCATTTACTACTTGGTCCTGACAACATTAGCCCCATCCAACTCTAAGGACATAATAAGACTTAGCTGCTGCTGACAGTTATTCTAGTCGCAGTCCTCATCAAGGTAGGACTTCCTGTAGTTTCAAGGAGGAATTTGGGAGACCTTGGCCAAGGAGTGTGAACTGCAGTCATTCTGCCTTTTTATGTGATTAAAAACACTGGGGCAGGGCGGTCAGGTTCACACTGATGGTTTTACCCTTGTTTCCTCCTCAGGTTTGATAGCGAGAAGGCTGGTGATCGGGAGGTGCAGAGGACCATGCTGGAGCTGCTTAACCAACTTGATGGTTTCCAGCCCAACACACAAGTCAAGGTTGGGGTCTAGCAGAGAGTGCTGCTGAGGTCCGGGGCGCTCTAGCAGGGGATGGAAAACAATGTCCAGGGAAGAAGCTTGGTGGATCCCTGGGGAGGAGAGGCCTGTCCTCCAGGTGCCTCAGACTGATGAACCTACTTCTACTTAGGTGATTGCTGCAACCAACCGGGTTGATATCTTGGACCCAGCTTTGCTCCGCTCTGGACGATTAGATCGCAAGATTGAGTTCCCGATGCCTAATGAGGAGGCCAGAGCCAGAATTATGCAGATCCATTCACGCAAAATGAATGTCAGGTATGGAAGAGGCATGGCCTTCTGGGGCTATGTTTGTCACTCGTGATGGTACCTCAGGGCTGTGGAGCGGCAGGCGCTCACTTTTGTTGTGAGCTCACTGTTGGGTTTTAAGGAAGCTCCATAGCTTGGTTCTTCTGTTGGTACGTGTGCTCAGACTGTTTTTTTCTCCCCCCCTCTCGCTCGTATCAGCCCTGATGTGAACTATGAGGAACTGGCCCGCTGCACAGACGATTTCAATGGAGCCCAGTGCAAGGCTGTGTGCGTTGAAGCGGTAAGTATTGCTCTGCGGCAGCCAGCGCTGATAGGAGGGAGATGTGAAAGCTAGCATGGAGTGATTACTTTGAACTGATGTGGTGCTCACATGCCCTCTCTAAATACTGTCTCATTGGGCAGGGGATGATTGCCCTCCGCCGTGGAGCTACAGAGCTCACCCACGAGGACTACATGGAGGGAATCCTGGAGGTACAAGCAAAGAAAAAAGCCAATCTGCAGTACTATGCCTGATCTCTGCCCAGTCGAGGTTGTGGCCTTGGCAGAGGACAGGACTAGACTGGACTGTACCACTTCCTTTCTGTCTGGAAAAAATAAAGCATTTTTTCCCTCTAAAAACAAATCCGTGATGTGTTGGGGCTGTCGCCCTTGCTCGGTGGTTCTACATCTGCAAAAGGGAAGGTGAGAACCTCCTGTCCACGGTGCCCATCATGCTGCCTTTGGAGCCTCCTCCTGCTAGAACTGGATTACATCCTGCTCTGCTACTTCTGGATGAGGACCAACAGGTTATACTGCAGTAAGCATACTTTGAAATTGATGATCTGCAGCTCGCACAGCATCCCCTCTTTTTACCTGTGCAGCCAGTGAACAGACTGTCCAGCTTTGCTAGGGTCTTTGAAACTTTTGAACTAACACTCATCTTGCAAGGGAGAAGTGATCACGATTCACGTATGAATGATGTTTTAACTTTCTCGTTTAAACTTAACTCTGGAACCTTCAACACCATTGCTGATATGTATGTGAGCTCTCTGGTGAATCAGTTTGCTAATTAGTCAGAAAGAATTCAAGGTTTCATCCACTGAGCAAGTCTTTCAGTACTTTTAATGCCAGTTGAGAATTACAACTTCCATTTAAAAATTACACTTTTCATAAATACACTGACTTTAGCATTAAGTATCTTACATGCCACTGTATTGTATTTTAAATACAATGTAAACATCTCCAAATGCTGGCCATCTCATCTTTACCTGTGCAGTTTTTGGACACTTGGGAGAGGGGCGGGGGTGTGAGGGAAGAAAGAACAGATGAATGAAAGAAAAATGCACCCCAAAGTACTTTGGCTGATGTTCCTGAGTTAGCCTAGTACTTGCGCTGGTTCCAAGGTCCTTACTGCGCAGTTTGGAGAGGGAGCTCGTTCCAGCGGAGCGTGCGTGTTCTCGACACGCTGTGCTCAGGGGGGCATTTGACATTAGAAAGGGGTGAGTGGTGAAGTGAGCAGAAGCCACGCGTTCCTGAGGAAAATACATTGCGGTTCCTTTGGACGTTAATATTCGAGGGGGCTGTACATCTTCTGGTATTTGAGCTCAGGGAGAATTACTCATCTCCTTTCACAGAACAGGAGTTGCACCCACAAGTTAGTTGAGGGGTGAAAGTTGATCCTGGCAGCTCAAACTGTGACATACTTTCAGAAATATACCCTGGCCTCTAGTGGAATAGTTATAAGCTGCGTGTTGCATACATCTCCCCATAAAAACAAGGGTATGTTAGTTAGCCAAATGAGTAACCTTACCTGTGTAAGCAGCTGAGGAAAACTTTCCCCTCCTTTCCTAAAGCCAGTAAGAATTTTTTGAGAGTCCTGCTGCTCAGTTACAGCCAGCTCCTTTTGGAAGCAGCTTTAGTAGTGAGTAAATAGCTGATACTACAGCATGGAATAGCACAGATTTCTGATTTAAATGAATTAATACTAAGAATGGGCTAATTCTTTGGCCTAAACCTCAGCTTAGATCAAGGTTCTTTTGGGAAATGCTGGCCTGAGCCGACACTAGACACGCCTGTTGCAAAAGTGTTCAAGCCAACTTCACGTAGCTCCTTGTCCTAATTTGGGTCTGAATTACACAGACCTGCAGCAATAGAGTTGGTGCGTAAACATCCCTTACAACTGGACAATAACGGGACCATGGAGGTACAGTTCAAAAAACAGCACAAAAAAAGACACAGCCTTGGACTTAATCCCTTGTAAACAGAAGAAAAACAAATCAAAAGAACTGTTCCCCTTAAACCACCAATGAGCAAATCGGCAATGATTCAAACCTGGAGTTACTCGCAATGTCCGTGTCCACGACTGGAGGCTGTAGCAGCATCCCACGGGCTGGTATTTCCACAGCTATGGCACTGCTCTCCACACGCTGACATGCCACCTCTTCCTGGTGTTAACCCACAGCTCTGCCCAGGCTGCGCTTTCCAGAGTCTCTCCTCACTCCCTCCGAGGTCACACGGCCCCATTTTCTTGTCTGGGTTTTTGTACGGACGCCCGAGAAGTGTTGAGTGATGGGGCCAATGTGCAGAGGAACCCAGCCAGCAGGGTGAGGCCCAGGCCTCCCCAGGCACAGAACATGGACCAGCCATAGCCATGACTGATGTCCTCTGGCAGCCCATAGACGTAGCGAGGATAGCGAGACAGCTCAAAGTTGATCCCAGCTACGCATGTGCAGAGTGAGATGATACAGCACGTACCTGCAGGAGAAAAGCAAGAGGGTTCTACACTGCCCTCAGACAGGTTAATTATGCTCTGGTTGGTTGGTTGGGTTTTTTTTCCCCCTAGGTATTTTCAAAGTCATAAATTTTCAAAATCAAGAATTACCCTTTTTCTTTGTAGTCCTACCAGTCACTCTTCTTACGGGGGCGGGGGCGGGGGGGAAGGCAAAATAGGTAGGACTACAGGATACCTCACTTCACAAATAACCACTATTGCCTTAGCTCCCTCCATCGCTATTTCGAACTCAGTCCCGTGTAGTTCATCATGCTTCGATTCTCCGGAGACGTTATTTATTTCTAATGTCATCAGGTTCTGGACAGTACTTGGGCAGTATCTCCTATGCAAGGTCCATAAATGAAGCCCAGGGCTGCAAAGAGCAGCACTGCTTGGTTTCCAGGAGGAACGTCCAGACTCCTGCCAGCTGTAGGCCACAGAAAGTGCCAGGTTTTTGCCATCTGCTACAGGTTCACCAAGCACCTACATAGAGGCGCAAAAAAAGCCAAAGAAACTTACAACACAAGGCACTCTAGTATGTCTAATATACAGTAGTACACTAGACTCAAGGCTGAGGTGACCATTTTATTCTCTCCAGCTCTGGATCTGTGTCTAGATACTAATGACTGCTCTTACTGCTGCCAGCATGCCCATCATGGTAGGTGCAGAAGCACTCGGCGGGGACCCAGTCTACCTGTTACACTTACTTACAATCCTTTACTCTTTTACTGCTGTGCGCTAAAAAAATGAAAATGTTCCCAAAGGAAACGGCAGTTAAGCAGCACGTAAGATGATCACAGGCAGCACAAGCCTAACTTCCAGCCTTTCAAGCGTCACACCACGTCAGCAGGGTGGTTCTCTGTGCGGCTGCCCAAAAACATTCCTTGAGAAGACACACTTATGGCAAGGGAAGATTCGTGGCCCCCCCCACCCCGTGGCACCAAACCAGTGTCACACCTGCTTGTTTAATTGCTACAGATGCTGTTATATCACCAAGTTCCTTGCTTGCAGCCATTGTAGCTGCTGACACTGGGCCTCTAGGGCAGCAGCTCTGGCTTTGACGTAGAGCCTCATTTTTTTCATACTTGAAAGTTGCCTGTTTACTGCTTGCAATTTGAGAGTCTTCATCCTTGCAGCATCTCTGTAGCTCACCCTTTTGGTGCATTTGTTGCTACTATGCCCCTTTTGAATAAAGATGAAACACTGCCCGTTTTTGAGCTGAACAATCAAAGTTCAGCAAAACCTTTGGCCATCCAGAAAGTCTGCTCCCAGCCAGGAGGAACAGATGTAACACCCTGAGCAAGCACTGAGCTCATGTCCTTACCCCTGGGCCAATGTTCTCCAGGCTTGGCTGGGTTCGGACTTGATTGTTACCCAAAGAGGTGAGCATCTGTGAGCAGCAGAAAGATGCTCTACAGCATTGATTTTTTTTTTCCCTTTGTTAAGATTCCCTAGGGAAACTGAGCTGGGCTGTCTGACAGGAGCTGCAGGCTCCACAATCTCAGAGCAGGCAAGAGGACTGTGCTCCTTGTGCACGTGGTCCCTGTGGCTACACACCAGCTCTCCACAGCAGAAGGCTCGTGGCTACATGCAGCGAGGTCTACTCAGAAACATGCAAATACCCATGCAAGCACAGGTCCTGCCCAGTGCTGGAAGTGGTAACTGTGCTGTGCTGATGGTTTGCTGCACTGAAGAACTGCTTTGTGTGCTTGCTGTGGTCTGACTTTACTTTTAAGAGCCCCTCCCCAGCCAGCAATGCTGTGGTGACTTGAAGCAGAAGGCTCTCACCTCCCATTAGGAAGAGCAGCCCAGCCACGTACTGCATGAGCTCCTGCTGTTTGCAGCAGCCCAGCACACCAATGATCCACCCAAACAGGATGATGGAGACTGCCATGCCAATGAAGCCAGCTGTCATCCTCCGCAGATCTGGGGAAAGAGAAAGGAGAAAAGCAAGAACGAAGACATGAACGTGGCAGCACCCAGACAGGACAGCCAGAGGGGAAAGTCCAGACAGATTTAGATTTGCTGGTTCTAAAGTTTATACTTCACCCATGGACGACTCCTCTTGTAGCTTCTTTGAGTTTTTTTTTGAGATAGTTTGCCCATTACACTGAAACTAAGGAAATCCAGCTAACTTAACTCCCTTCTGTTAGGCACTGTACAACTAGAGAGCATTCCTGTCCTGATTAAGAGGAATACTGACCAAATACTCCCCAGCCTGGGACAGAAGGGGTGCATTATGAATTCAGCAACGATTTTTAAATGTTAGTATTGCACGGGCTTTTTTTTTTTTTTTTGGTGGTGTGTTTCTTTGGGATGGAGTCTGTTGGGTGAGTGTCTGCTGAAAATAGAAATAAAAGAAGTGAGAGGGGATGCTGAAGAGAATTAAAGGACTACCGCATGGAAGGCCAATAGTGTGAACCGAAAAGGGGAATAGTGGGAGGACAGAAGCAGACAGCAGGTCAATACAGTATGATGGGAACAACTCCAGTAACAAGCTCTAAAAACAAAGCTTGGGCACCAGTGATATGAACAGCACTTTGTCATCCATAATACAAGCGCTGTTCTTGTCTCTTCCTAGTTCAGTCTCTAGCTGGATTTCCTCAGCACTGAGGCTCACATGACAGGGGCTAGGCAGAATTATGTGAGGCAACAGAACCAGAAAACAAACATAGAGAGAAGCAGGAGCAGAAAAAAACCAATTAAATCATTCTGAGTGACAGGCTACAGGTCAGTCATCTGTGTGGGAAGGACTTGGGCATGAGGCAGCCTGGGGGCCAGGAGCTGGTACCAGGAGGTTGCAAAGACAAACAGCTGAGGTGTTCCCTAAAAGAGCTGGTTGCCAGGAAGCTGCACCAGGTCGCTGGTGTGCACACAGAAAAATGCAACAAGCTCTATACAGACTATATGGTGATGCAGCACCTTTGCTGCAAGCCAGCTAGGAATTGTCTGTCCCCAGAACCAGAATAAGATTACACCTTCCAACACACTACACGCATGCCTGAATTCCTGAATTCACTGTTTAAGCCCCTCCACATGTCGTGACCCCTTCCAATTACACTGTCAGCTGCTTGCCCTTCCTCACTAACAAATATGTATTCATGCTTAGAGCCCAGTGACGGCTAGCTGGTTCAGAGCCCTCACTTGGCATTGCATTAAGGCATTAAGTAATCCAAACAACGGTCTCGTACACTGCTTTGGGTTACTTACGGAGCGCATGCCACTCATCCTGCCGGATGGTGTTCGTGATGTTGATGGGTAAGTTGCGAGGCAGAGAGCTGGAGGTGTAGTGGTACTTCACAGCAGTGCAGCGCTGAATAACTCCTGTAAAAGAGACATCAGTGTGAAACAGCATGAAACCCCTGTGCCTTGCACTTGCTGCTGAGGTGGCTGCCCAGCAGAGCTCACACAGGGGAAGCCTTAGTTCAGTAACAGAGCAAATGCAACCAAAAAAAGAGCTGTTTTTACTTCAAACGCTTTGGGGATTAGGAGGGGAGGGAGCCTTGCTACAAAGAAACCCCTGCAAAGAGGGAGCAAGGTGTTGACCCAGGCAGGATCCAGGAAAGAACAGCTGAAGGTAATTAGTAACAACAGGCACCAAAAACAGCTCCAGAAGCTTCCTAGAGGAACTGGTACGATCTCTTTGGGATGGCTGAGGAGACAAGAATGTGGATCAAGAGGACTGCTTTGTCTCTAAGAAGACAGAGTTGAATCACTTGGAAAATTTTGAATGAATGCTGGGAAGTGAACTGCATGGGAGAAAAGTTTGACTTCACTCCAGTAGTCATTGGTTCTTTGCTTTACTTTCGATGAACAGTAGTACCCAAGTAGGCTTGTTTCCATTATAGCTTAAAGTGTACCCCAGATGCAAATGTGAACCTACATGCATGCTCTTCTTGAAAGGGATTTTTAGTTTAGAAAGCAGCCGACAACAGAGGAGATACCAGGGGGTGGAGAGAGAGGAAGGTGCCTTGCCCTCCCTGTTATAAATAAAGCCAGGGCAGGGGGGAGAATAAGTGTGGATGGTGGAGTGGAAGAGAACAGCCAGAAAGGTAAAAGAGCTAAACAGTACAAGAAGTTCCCCTTAAACAATGGCCGTGGGGTCATTACCGCTATTTGAATGCTGGGGCAGAAGAAGTGAGAAACAATCGGTTGGCCAGTGAGCTCATTAAGAACAATCACTAGCAGGGAGCTGCAGACTCGGGGATCAGCCTTGCAAAAGACACTAGAAAACCCAGGAGAAGAAATGGGCTCTGGGCTGCTCCCGCAGGAATGGGAAGCATGATTTTGTTCTCTAACAATGGTCACTGGGACTGTACTGACCTGGCTCCTGCAAGGACCTGCAAAGAGGAAGCCCCTGCTTCAGAAGATGAGGAGTTGCACACAAGAGGCCCAGCCAACTCCAGCCATCAGGCCAGGGAGGGAAAGGTGATCTGAATTTCCCCACATTAACAAAACTGAAGTGGAACAAGCAGACATGTAAAGAACATGCCCCAAAAGGGGAAAACTCAAAGCTAGAGTTCCAAAAGCCTCTGAGCAGCAAAGCATTTCAAGTGGGCCCCTGTCCTCGGCTGTGCATCCCACCACCCCCTTCCCCTGCCGCGGTTCCCTACCACCTCCGCTGACATGACAGGGTGCTGGCAGCGACACACCGATACACAGAGCTGCTGCCCTTCACCTTCAGCCATTCGCCCTCACCCTGCGGAGCAGGGCACCCTCTTTGCAGTTCTGTCAGAACAAGTCTGTAGTGCTGCCTGAGCAAATGGATCAGTGAGGCAACCCAGTGACAGAGGATGCCAGTTTATTTGCAAAAGCTCTGTAAACATCTGAATTAAGAACTTAGGCCATATGCAGCACACCACAATATCTAACTAAATTTCACCTATAACTGTTGACCGAATTCAATTTCAATACTGACATGATTTACATGTCTTGTTAAGAAATATGTCTATGGTACAAACTAATGGCATCGGATTTTAGATTACAATGCACTGATTCATTACAAGATCTATGCACTTACATATTCTGATTATAAAAGTATTATATATGAAGCAGTACTTTATATAAGAGCAAGGATTACTACTTTTATAGCTCATTAAAGAAAAATCAAAGACTAGAGATGTACCTCCCTTATGATCAAAGCTATGGACTCCTCAGCTAAAATGCCACTGAGAAAATGTTTGCTCTGTACTATTACAAGAGTTTACGTGTAGACTAAAAGTAAAACCTCTCCACCTTCTTATACAAATCTGGTTATTTAGAAGTTTTCAAATATCAATTCATTCTGCCTCTGGTTTAAAAACTTTACTCCTAATCCTTTCTTCCCTAGAATTCAAAGTGCTAATTTTATGTAGGTAGCACATAAAATTATATTAAAACAGCAAGTTTGCAAAACTAAGAGCTCAGGAGGTAGAGAATTTTAGGGTTTATGCTCAGCTCTGACCTCTAATCCATGGGCTTGGTGACAGCCTTTGATTAGACCATCACAAGCCATTTTTCCAATAAGATTCCCATTTCTCTGAGGGCACAGACTGGACCTGCTCTGGTGTGAGCCACCATAGGCAAAACATGGGAGGCCTCTCGCTGTAGGTCTGCTAGAAAAGCCGAAACAAGTAGGCAAGAGAGTCAGGGGATCAGGGAAGCAGGGAGGGTGATCTCTCAGCTGAATACCTACCCACTTTCTCCCAGCAAATTATAACATGCACCCAGGCAATCCTCAGGAGCCAGATTTTGCACCTGCAGTCACTCATTCATGCTTCCCATTTTCTGAGTGAATCTCTAAGTCTAAATTGCAGAGATGCTATGCACTCAAATATAGCCAGGTACTCCACAAGGCTGCATTTAGAGTGATGTAATACCTTGTTCTCTAAGTACTCAAGAAAAAAGAAAAAAAAATCAAAATCAGGTTTGCAGTCTCAAAGTTATCGCGAAGCCAAAGGTATCTCAAAGGCACTCCAATAAGCCCTTTGTCCTAAACCCTTACACACCTTAAATCCCAGTCTATAAAACAGTGACAGCACCCTGCCCTCCATTTCAGAAACCTGCTAGCAAAGTGATTTCACTTTTGTTTATAACACACTCAGAGAAGCACCATAAGAAAGTCTGCCAAAATTAAAAACTTTGCCTTCAGGCAAGGGCTTGAACAGAATGGAGTCATGTGGTGAACAACAAGTAAGCGAGCATTGTCTTTTTTGGCACACGAGTAAGTTGGGAATACAGGACAGGCGGAGGCAGGTGCTCATGTCATTAGCTTACCATAGAGCCCATGGACAAGAAAAAGGTTACACAGAGAGCCTGACCCTAGCAATTCTTAGGGGCATTAAAAGAACACTATAAAAGTTGCACTGCATGTACAATTTTCTTGATTAAAAAATGAACACAAGAAGCAATGAACTGCATCCGGCAGTGTCACATCGACACTTTCATGGCCGAGCTACATGCCTATGCCCTCCCATGGCCGACATTGCTTCTCGCACCTTGTCCTCAACATGTTTGGGTTTTTTTTTTTCCCCTCAGGATTGCAACCGCAGACAGGTTTCCCTCCTGTACCCTCTCCCGACCCTTGGGACACTACGTGTCAGTGTCCCTGGATGAGTCCTTTCTCCTGACTGAACACAAAGGCTGGGAAAGATCAGAGGATGCTGGCTAGAAAGAATTTCTGGACCTCCAGATACCCAGGCAGAGCACAGGCCCCCGTGTCCCTGGGCTGCCAGACACCTGGAAACCCAGATCCAGGCCTGCTGTAACACATTCAATTTGTAATCCTGGGCTCAGCACACCCTGATTTATTCTCAGTTTAGTTTTCATCTCTCTCTGACCTTGACATGTGGGTTTTCTTCTCTACGCTGCCTGTGTGCCAGCGTTATGAGGAGGAAATGGAGGGGTTCTCATTTTCAGTTCTGCTACCTGGCCTGGTCCTATCTTAGAGCAGTTTGGCTCTCACGCAGCTGGGAGAAGCCCTCTCCTTCTCACCATGAGCAAGGTCAGGGAGAAGCCATGGGCAGTTAACACTGAACTACCACGTGAGGTCTGGCCCTCCCCTCCCTCATGCCCCAGGGCCAAGTGGCCACTGAAGCTCCCTGGCCTATTCCTACCATTTCTGCCCAAGATTGTGGAGAGCATCACAGCTATGGGATCACTGTCCACGCTGTCCCCCAAAGGCCACTAGATCTGGTAAATCAACCTTCCTTTAAAACACCATGATAACTCCTTACCAATGGCCGTGACCAAACAGATTGAGTTTATTAAATACGCCACTATAATAGATGCTCTATAGACCTCACAGTCATTCCTGTACCTCTTCCAATTTATCATCAGTTGGAAAGGACGGGAAGTACAGACGCCAGGACTGAGCAGTTTTCCCTCAAGGGCCTCATTACTGCCACAAACTGTTGTGTTCCTCTGCTTAAGCATCCAGTGGTTCTTCTCATTTTCTCAGCTACATCGTGGTACTAAGAAGTCATTTCTGCCCAGTATATGTGAGACCTAGCAGTCCCATCCCAGAGTCTTTTCAGAGCAAGCTTGAAAAAGCAATAAAATCCCCAGTTTATGAACAGTGATGAACCTTTTCTCTTTTAATTCCTTCAATTTACTGGTGTTAAAATGCACGTTGTTCAAATGAGCCCACCGAGCTATCCAAAGCAGCCTATTAGAACAGATCTTTCCTAATCATTTTCTACTGTCACCACTTTGTAAGCAACGCTTTTTTCATACTAATAGAGAGGACCACTAAACAGCAGGTAATAATCCCTGCAGGACCTCACTACTTAAGAATTCTCCATGCAAAATATTTATTGTTGCAGCATCAGTTATCCAGCGTGTAATCCACATAGCACAGGCTCTATAAGATGATGTATAGTGCCCAAGTTCCTACACTCACAGAGTCCCTGCCTACACACGCAGATCCTCTTAGTTTTCCCACCAAGTGCTTCAGTTCTTTAGCTGCTATCTTTTACTGATTGCTAATCTCCATTTTCCCCATTTGGTTTGTACATTATTTCTTCTTTTGCCTTTTTAATTGTATTTTTAAAATGAAACTATCTATTTTTTCACAGTTCCAAAACAGTGATTTTGCATTTTAAGAAAAATCCCACACATCATTCGCCTCTTACATTTAAACATTTCCCACCTCTCTGTTTTGCCCTACATTTTTTGACTCCTGCCTCTTCCCTTTAAATATATAAAGCAAATATATTTTACATATTTTTAAAAATAGATATTATATATAAATGTATGCATGTATATGCACCATCAGCTAAAATGGTCAAGTATGAAAGTTTCCACAGAGCTTGCTTTGTATTAGTAGCAGTAGATAAATACTGGATTAGAAATCCATGGAATTATCTAAATGGATATGGGCACTTATGGACTTAGTAATTTATTCAGAACTCAAGAGAGACCCGGAAAAGAAAGAAACCTTATTCCAGAAGTACTAGAAAATGAAGAGTATAAACCCTAATCAAAATTACCCCTGGACTTTCACAAAAAAACCCCCACAACCTATTTACTCCTCTGTCACTAAAAGCCTATAAAAATCTCTAGTTTCAGGAATATTAGGACCATAAGAAGGCATTACGCATCATCAAAGAGTTAGCTGAAAACTTACTGCAAATCGAGGAGAAAGTAGGACTTTCAGAGTGCACAGTAGTGACCTTCAGCTCACACTAGGACAAAAAACCTGTTTTTTCCTCTTTGGAAGCACCAGATCTAGTATTGTGCTTGAGAGAACAGCTCAGCAACAGCCACACCTGACCACTGGCCAGAAAAGGCTGCTTAATCACAGTTGGCAGAGAAAAGATAGACACAGCGGGAACAAGGAAAGGCTGCTAGCAAAGCAGGTCAGGGGAAGAGATAAGAAGAGAGTCATATCTATTTAAAGATCTGACTCTACAAGAACTATTATTAATAATTTCCCTCTATAAGATAACACTTTAAATCTTCACAGGAGCGACTGCAGACCTAATAGGCAAAGAATTCTCTTATTAGAACAGCTGAAGAAAAAAAAGAAAGTAGAAGGAAAAACTTTTGGATTCAGAGTCCCTCCTGTTTTACACATCGGACCCTGAGAAAGATCATTTATCACCCTGTAACACCCTCGTGCATGCAGAATGCAGACTCTGGCCTCTCTGTCTGATCGTTGTAGCATTGGGAAAATACCTCAGAAACAGAAGTATTGAGGACTAAACTAGTATTCTTCCCATCCCTTCCCCCAACCTTTGCCAATCTCAATGGGAGCTGAAAGCATTTGGCTTGATGTGAAGCAAAAAAATAGATAAATATTTTACATGACAGGCACAATTAATAGAAAGAAATTAATGAGCTGCCTTTTAGTGAAATGAGATCAACGTGGAAATAAAAATGAAAAGGCATAAAATGGTTCCTAGGAGATTAAATAGAGAAAGAAGCTAACCACACGGCTCTAGAGTTTCTAAAAGTAAGAGTCACTGCTGTGCACTGGGAAGAATGGACAAAGACGAGCTGAGCTTCACAGTGCCAGTCTATCCATCCTCTGCTGTGCAGGACTGGCGTCACAGTTGGAAGCCACGCTGAAGAACTGCTCCCACTTTCTTAAGATAGCATTTCCATTTTGTGCCTCAGTGGAAGCACTTCTCCCAACTCCTACTCTCCCTGTGCTAATATGTACCTGCTGGAACAGTAAGTCCTGTTATTTATCATTAACCATACACGG